GCAGTTTTTATTATAATTAGTCAATACAATGTTGGATTTGTATATGAAACATTCAATTAGAATGATCAAAATAAAAATGATCCATTTATTTCAGTGGGCAGTTTTACTGTTTAATGATAATTTAAATGCCTTGTTAGATACGTTTCCCCCTTGACAAGGCAATATATCTGAGGAAAACTTAAATGGAATTGACAGATATCCGAATTCAGCTATAAATATCACAATCTGAACTAAAATGGGTTAAATGTACCCAAGAGATCTTGACCAGATTCTCGCGCAGCTTTGTGTAGAAACATCAGATGTGAGTCCCACATTAGGGGCAAAGTCTGAAGCGTAGCAGTGTGAACACATGTAGCCTCTACCGAGGAAGGGGGGTGGCTCTGGTATAGAGGCCTTGACCTCTGGGGACTTGGAAAATATTCATCTAAGCAGGGAGGGTTGAGGGGGGCAGGCTTTGTCTAACACACCCCCTCCAGTCCTCTGCTCTTTTGTTGGGAGGTAGTAATCACACGCACGCACACACACATATACACACAAACATGCAAAGCTCTCCAGCAGTGAGCCTCTGACCAGCTGTCTTCGGTCTGAAAGATGGCCACCGTCCTCATAAACACAGATAGCTCGCAGAAAGCAAGCAGGAGGAAATATCGCTGTCTTTAGCGTTCTCTTCTCTGCCTCTACGTGTCTGAATGTTTCACTTTTCCCACGTTGTTCATTTAATTTAGATTTGACATTTTAGGTAGTGACTTTCAGTATGCAGACGGAGACCCAATTTCTTCATCACTACATCTATCACTAGATTCAGGAGCTGTCAGCAGTTGCCGTAAGGCCCCTAACATTCTTTTCAATAATCAAATATTTGGAGAAGAAATGAGAAAGGGGGTTTCTAAAGTCTACAGGGTACAGCCCAATAACCTCCTTGGAGTGAGGGATTTAATTCCTAAATCTTACATATCAACATTTGGAATATTTTTTAATTAAAACTTTGAAGTCAATATTACCAAATCACAGATGAGTGTGTTCTTTAAAAAAGAGCTATTTTTCTCTTAAAGGTATTAGGGTGACTCATAACACCAGCAGCATCCAGTACTGTGTTTTGTTTTCATGCCAGAAATCCTCATTCTTAGAGACTGTTTTTAAAATGGAGGACATTTAAATTTGGAAAATTGTCTTGTTTTGTTTTTCTTAGAAAAATAATAAGTGGCTCCTGTTATTTGACAAAAGTTTGAAGCAACAATCAGAATAAATACTGGATAGTTAATAATAAAATATATAGAATAAAAGTGCTGGTCAGTAACAGACGGGTTAATACCTCCATGCATTTATTTTAAATAGAAACCCGACAGAGTAATCTCATTGAAGAAAAACATCCTGCTACAGAAATGCAGTTTGAATAGAGGTTTAGGGCAAACCAATGAAATGCCTCCATACTGAAACGATCCCTATCATCAGGGCGTCTGCGTAGAAATTGAAGCAGACATGGTGGCTATGGTAACAAAGATAACTGAAGCAGCCGTCTCCTTTCTCTCCAATGTGTGTCTGTGTGTGTGCCTGTGTGCATGAAAATCGGTGTGTATTGTTCATGGACCAAGGCTATTTCAGAGGAGGGGGCCCTTCCAGTTGTCCTCGCTGCATCGGCCCTTTCATCACTCCCTTATCCATATTCATCGCCACCCTGCTCTCCTCTCCTATCAGAGACCAGCTAGCTGTGACCGGCGACTCGCTCCACCAATCGCACACCTCCCTTTGTCGGAATATACCCACCTCTCATCCTCTTCACCCCACCCTGTACAATGGCTTCTTTTTTTACTTTGACGCAGTGGCTTTAAAAAACAAAGGGGAAGAGGAGAGGGTGGAGAAGGAGAGTTGCAGCTACCGCTGGCAGAGCCATGCAGATAGCGGCTACGAATCGATCGACAGCCTCGGAAACGGTTGTCGAGCTTGCGTCGTCAATGGCAGCCTGCGATTGATGATGGGGTGGGTGGAGGACGAAATGATGGGAGGATGAGGGTGAAGGAGGACAAGAGAAGGAGGGTGCAATTGTGATGGTCTGAAGTAGAGCATGATTAGTATGGATGAGGAGGAAAGGAAGATGGAGAGAATGGAAGAGGAAGAGAGAAGAGGGAGCAGCCGAGAAACGCTCAGACTCGTGAGTGAATAAAACAGGCGTGTCGCCGAGGAGAACGCCGTGTTCTGCAAAATACCGAGGATGAAGGACGAGTGTAAACCGTGTAATTCACATTCAAGACTAAATGTATGAAAAATTCAACTATTTATTTTGTAAGAATCAATCTCAACAGTTCAAATAACTTTTTTTTTTTTTTTTTTTTTTAATAATTTCTATGTATTCTGGCTCACATTGTTGCATTTTTGGTAATATTTAGGACTGAACCCCCACTGCCAAGTGTCTATTTTCAATTGTTCAGAGCCATATGAGGGGCTTCTTGCTCCTCAGCCTGGACAGCCGATCAATGTGAGGAAGGATATCCCAAAAAAGATGCTCCAGGAGCAACAGAAAACACTTCAATCAATAGCATCAAAGGCTCTCTCTCATGCAGCAAAGGTTCAATACTATATGTGTGTGTATATGTGTCCATCTGCAGCGCAGTACATCATTTACACACCCGTTCATCTTTCTCATTTGACTTCTTCTCTGCTTTTTGTAACTAAAGTTAGACATAAAGACAACTACACAACACACACACAAATCTTTCTTCATACTGCTAGTCCCCTAATGTCACTTGGCAAGGGCATTTCAAGGCCCCCCCTCCTCTTTCCCAACACCGGCTTGCCAGTCCATCCATTTGCTAAATTAATGTATTATATCTTACAGACAGGAGAGAATAGAAGAGAAGAGAACAGAAGAGAAGAAAAAGCCTATAAAATAAAGTGATGAACGGACTGACAGGTCTGTACGTCCAGGTCAGCAAACTTTTCCCTGACTGTTGAACCTGTAGACGTCCCCGCTCGCATGTTCATTTTCTAACCACCTACATGAAAATCGAAAAACAAACATCCAATTTATTTTGTTTGTGCTTACATAAGACTTCTTAATGGCTTATACAAGCAGTTTTTTTCCCCTGAAAGCTGCATTTGTTTTGAATGGACTGAATCGGAGTCATTTACATTAGGCTGAGAGCCTGCTGTTAGGTATTGGAGTATTAGTAATGGTATATACAGTTGCTTACACAAATATCACTTCGTAGTGTCAGTGGAGGGTTTTAGCTTCACCATGATCTGGATGCTGTTTGTTTTCCACCAGAAAAAATAGTGCATTATTATTATTTTGGGGCTTAGAAATGCTGATGTTTAAACATATTACAATTACAATAGCAAAAAGTTACAATACTTACTACTATACTTTTATTTAATTAGTCATAAATACTGTAACTCTATTTTAACTGTTGATGCATCCCATACACCAAATTATTAATACATTTAAGTTGATTTATTTATTTCCAACAGATATTAAGTAGCCCTGGATATCCTCATATCCTGAATCATTTTGACCAACTGATACTGTAAACGTATTAACTAAATGCCAGCACTGTTGCTGTAAACTCACCGGAAGGCTTAATGATATTCAGATTTTCAGAATATGCTACTTTACAGGAAAATAATCCATTCTCCAAATAAATGTAATCTAATATAAACATACATAGTAAAAATTCTAAACCCTGGTTGGCCAACAAGTTCAAACCTCAAAAAACGAAATCAAAATATTAAGACTGACTTTATCAAACATCTCTGATCATACATGCACATGATTAAAGGAAAATCTGAATTCCTCTAATGTGGGGGAGAACCCTGCTGGGTCGGGTTGAGGGGTAGGAGAGGTGCCGAGATAAGAATGGGTTTGGGTTGGTGGATTAGGTGCCTGTGGGGGTGCGGGGCTGTGAACAACAGCTACTGCATCTATCTATTGATCTTCTTCTCTGCTTCTTAAAGACTATCAGCTTTTCATAAGATGTAGCTATGATTTATGACCCTCGGGGTTACAGTGGTCTCTTGTCGTCCTGTATCTGCTGTCTGACAGCTGACTAACTCTTTCTCTATAATGTTGCTTCTCACTTTCCACACACACACACACACACACACACACACACACACACACACACACACATGTTTGAATAAATCCTGGACAGAAACCAACCAGAAACCCAGTGAAAAAATCCAAGACCCATCTTTGCTCGTCTTCATTGACTAATTAAATAGTTTTAATAGTTAATAGTCTACTCACTTCTCATTCACACAGATCTGAGTGGCATGAACAGAACACATCACTTTGCACAAGCATTATACTCTACATCTGGATATATTTCTAAGCTGTAGTTGTTGGATAAAAAAAACATGACTGAAAATGTTTTATTAATAATTTTTTTCTCCGATGAAGAGAAATATTTCTGATTGAATAATAAATAATAAATTCTTTCTTTTAAAGCTTAAATTAGTTTTCAACCTCCCTGTGGTAAAGGAAAGCTGTTAAAACAACAGTCATGTGCTTTTTACTCAACAGCAGCTGCACACTGCATACTGTAGCAATTAAATATCACACTCTGTGCACAATCAGGGAATGAACATTTCAACAATACATCAGCAGTCATAAACCCAAATGATGATATGGCTAGCATGAGGTCAAAGGTCATCAGGACTCATCTGTGCAGTAATGTTGGGTATCATGATAAAAGAAACACTGAATTTGTATAAAAAGCATGAAAATGGATGTTATGGAACTGATAACACACAATATAAACAATATCACCATGCATTATCCTGGATCATGAGTAGAATATGACGGTGTTACATGTTACTTTAAATCCTATTTAAATGTCAGGCCCTGCAGCAGTCAGACCTCATCATTGAAATGCCCTAAAATTAAGATGTCACTCTGCAGAATTTGGCCTTCAAGAACACATGTACGTGTTGTCACTGCTGAATCAGTCCTGCATTAAAGAAGGTTAAAGTAAAGATTATAAAACAGGTAGAAAATCAACTCTTACCATGAGTCTCAGTTTCTTGGTGAGGGAAAACAATGCCTTCAGTTTCAAAAAGGGGCTGCAGGAAGGCCACTACAGAGAGAGGAAGCACATGGGTAGGGAGTGTGTGGTGTAAACTAATCATGCAGAGAAACAACCATTATTATGATCTCTTAGCAGCACTTTGAATTATTTAACTTCAGAACTGCAGCCTGCGTGTAGCTTAAAAATATAAATACAAAAGCATATTCTCAGTGGAAATATACGGCTTCTGGTGAAAAGCAACTGAATTAATTGTCAGTGCAAAATTGTCACGAAAGACCTGAAACCAAGCTCTGATTCCTCTGTTGTTTTTCTTAAGGCGATGTAGTGAAGTGTGTGCGGGAGTGACTTGTTCATTTTCAACCAAATGTCATCCGATCATCAGCCTGATGCTGCCGGCTGAGGAAGTGTTGACCTGGCGGCGCCGCGGCCGTCCTCTCTGCCAGAGTAAAAGCTTGGTCGGCAGTGCTCATCATCATCATCATCCCAACCTTTTCATTTGTCTAAATGGACGAGCTGTCTGACTGTTTAGCAGGCAGGAGGATGGTCCCCTGAGGGCAAGCCTTACATTCAGCGAGGAGAGGCCGTTAGTGCTCCGAATGCTGCATCGATCTGCAGCTAAACCACGCTGTCTAACCTGAAGCTCACCCCTCCTCAGTCGGACACTCTCTCTGTTTAATTGTTACTCCTGAAGACAGCTATCATGTTTTTTGGTGGGAGCTGAAGAAACTGTTAAAAATGACTGTCCTGTTCTTTTCTGTCATTGCTGGAAGGGCCAGGTCAGCCAAAATCAACAAAATGATAAAAACTTATTTATCCTCAGGACTCTCTATGGGTCACACTATGTTTTTTTTTATTGTGCCACCTGTCATTTTGCATTAAAAGGGACAGGCCACTCAAACTCTACAGGTCTATAAAGATTTAATGTACTTAAAACATTACAGTAACCATCATACCTACTTACTTGTGCGAGTGAAATATTGCTAAATCAGGCCAATAATGACACCTCAGTAGGGATATATCTGATGCCATCCAGTTATGTTGACCACCTCTAATATGATGGAGGGTCCTCTCTGATAAAACTGCAGTAAAAATCTGATTTTCTTATCATATGTTTTTTTTTTTTATTAAACAGATTTGATTTATAATTCACCAGGCACTGATCATTTCACTTCAGGGATGCACTTACATTAGCAAATTTCATTAATCTGTGTTTCAGAAGAGAGTTTAAATTTTCCCTTACAGTCTTAACATGTTTTAGAGACTTTTCTGCCCTGACAGGAAAGATATTTAGGGCAAAACTTATTTTTTTTTAACATGAAAATAGCCACATTTAAACACATTCAGCATGCCATAACTGCTGCATACGACTTCAGTCAAAGAATATTACTAATATTATTACTAATCTTAGAATTAATGGTGCAGATCACCTAAAATGTACATTTGTTTCAAAATCTTGATGAACATCTTATTCCAAATTTGATTTTAACTCTAATCATATCTGCCACTTTATGTCAGAAGCGTCCAAAATAATATTACATGTTCATACTGACAGTCAGATTTAACAATTTGCATTAAAAGTTTGGGTCATGTAAAATCTACAAATTCTAATTAAAGCAAAGTCTTATACATTCAAAATCTTTAGCTGCACCATCTCTTCACTGTGCACACAATGTTGTGTAAATAACACATTTAAAAGCGTAGTGTATGTCCAAATGTCCATGATGGGGTGCATGGCCAGATAGGCTTCTAATGGTTGTAATGCTGGGTGATGGGAATGCTTGGCGCATGAGAGCATGTAAACAAAAACCAAATATGGTGATTGCCATGGCGACATATCCATATTTCATCCAACCAGAGAATGATGAAGAAACATGATTGGACAATTTAGAGAAAAAATATCTCCCTCCTAGCTGCAGGTTATTAAAATCAGAACAGCAAAGCATGATAAAAATATACAGGCACTGGCATGCTGCAATAACACAGAGACACTGTCGCATGAGCTGCCCTGTATTCCCCTTGTTCTTTCTGGCTAGCCACAGGCCTGCTGTTAATATGAGTCCGCTTGTTTATCCGCTTGTGTAATTGTACACAAAGCGGCGATGGTGGCTGATGTGAGAGATTATCACAAGGTCATCCGTCGACGGGATGAGAGCCTGCGATCACGCACCAGCCTGATCTGGCTTTCACTTGTTTACATCCTTATTTTGGCTCCAGCATGGCCGCTGTGGCTGCGCGTAAATCTTAAAACGCCATAAAAACAATTCGGCTAATATAAAGAGGCTAAACAGTCAGGATGTGCGCGAGGGGAACCGGCGGCTTCCCTCCAAATGCCCCCTTAGTCCCTTTCATTGTTTTCTTTTCATCAAAAGCGGCGGCCCATGTTTTTTTTAATGCTGATGGAAAATGACTGTTGTTCGTTAGAAAGCGGATAAAAAATCGTGCCCTCTATATTTATATCACTGCCTAAGTGAGGAACAATGAATCTGTGTCTGTAACATTCCACTGTGTCCCTCAAGAAACAGATCAACCTGCTCTCATTTTCTCTCTGCCTGCCTCAGGACGAAGCAACATTCACCGAAACACAAACAGCTCCCGCATCCCCATCGCTGCTCTTACCTCCCGTGTTTGTGCGTTTGGTGCTGCTGGCCTCCGTCGGAGTCTCCAGGGGTCTTTTACGTGAGTCCGGGGGATCGGACTCCATGTGTGGTTGTTGGTTGTGATGGTGAGGATTTGAGAAAATCCCGTTTTGCTGTACTGCTCCGCCGGCCATCATTTTCGAGCTTGCTCTTGGATGCTTGGGCTGCGTTTGCGTTTAAATCCCCCCTTTTCCCGTTTTTTTTACGCAACGTAGACGTGCAGATGAGTCCTTGCAGAAGGCAAAAGCGATTTAGGAATTGGAAAATACGCCTGTTTCTTACGGACGGGGAAGGTTAGCTGCGCGTTTCTCCGTGGTGCGCCGTGCGTACAGAGATGCTGCGCAGGGACAGAAAGAATGAAACGCTGGAGCGGCGGATGATCAGCTCAGAGGTGGGAAATCCGAAACCTCTGCAGATGGAGTTTGATCTTGGCTACTAAAACCGTGCAAATGGATCGTCAATCTTCCATCAACCTTTTGAGATGCGGGCTAGGATATGTGTGTCATTCCGCTGCAACTGGATAAAAGAGCGTACTCATGTCAGGCAGTGCAGGATGGTGGCGCTCCTCTGCAACAGCCAGCGAAACGAAACAATAAATAAAACAAAACAAAAAAACACACACAACCGAAAGACAAAGAGGTGAAATCAACCGAGGAAATAAGAAGGAAAGGAAAGGTCGGTGAAGCAACACTAATACAAAAAAATCCGATGCGTTACTGGTAGGCTATTATAATTTCTTTCTTCTTATGTCCTGGCTCCGATCATGAAGACACCCGGGGGTGACGGGGTGCGTGATGAGGGTCCGGAGACGCGGAGCTGGAGGAACACACAGAGAAAGAGACGTTTTTTCCTGCTCGTTCTCTCGGTGAAGATGCTGCAGTCTTGCGTTCAGAGCATCCCTTCTCTGACTGGCTGCTAGAGGGAGCGTAGGGGAGCGACTGACGTCACAATGCCTTCATTGACATCCCGTAAACTTGTATTTCCCGTGTTTTAATGTTGCCTAAAAGTTAGACTTGTCAGTGTGTTGTCGTGTTTGTTTGTTTTTTTGGTGAGGAAATAGCCTAAAGCTTAATAATAACACTAAAGAAAAAAAAGAAACTATTTTTTGTCCAGTTTGAGCAAAGGTCTACTGAAGAAAAAAAATGGAAACACTTGCCAATGGATTAGAATAAGCTAATAGCCTACATCACATCAGTGGTCACTCTCATAGTTCACTGTGTTTTCATGCAAAGGCTAGGTTATAGCCTATGTACAAAACTGAAATGAAAGTACGCTAGGCCGATAGTAAAACGTAAAATGTTGATGAGTCTTACCAAGTCTACTTCAAATAAACATTTCATCTCTTGAGGTCAATTCAAACTAAAAGCCCAAGGCCGGTAGCCTTGCTATGTTGAAGGCTAGTAACTCACGAGGGAACGAGGTTCCTTATTTTCGACGTCACATGAAGGCATCAGGAGAGAGAAAGCGAGAAAATGAGAAGAAGAGAGACGCCTCGTCGAGATGCGATTGGCCGAGGCTACATTTCTCCGGCAAAACGAAAAGGACACGGATATATTTGCCCGGTGGAGTCACATGACGGAGAGGAGAGGATGCTGCGGCGGGTTTTTAGTCCACTATAGTCGCGGCAAATGCAATTATGGTTGAATGGGAAGTCTTAAGGTCCCTCTGCGGCCGTTTGGAAGTCTGTAATGCTGCCTATCAGCAGACCAAGGGTGCTTCAAACACACCTGGAGTTCTGCAGAAGAGCTTGCCCACAGTTTTCTGTCTTGAATTTAAATGTTACTAATCAGCAAGTGAATTAAACTGGTGAGAGTTCAAGGAGGGTGTTTATATTAAAGTGGAAAAAGCACAAATTAGCAGCATTTTAAAAAATCCCAACACATTTTTTGTTTTTATTGGTGGTTGTTTGCCTCATTGTAATCCCTAAAATCTCAAAATTGACAGATTCTTGCTTCCAAAGCACCTGACCAACCCTGATGACCCTTAGGCCAGACTGACGGCCTGCACCTGCATCAAAAGAAAAACCTAATTTCACAGGTTTGGTAGTTTTGCATGACCATAATGCAGTTCTGACACTGAAAACGGCCCCGTGAAATAGGAAGCATGAAACCTGAGCACCCAGCCTGTCTCACCTGTCCCCTCAGCTGCTGTGTGACCCACCTGTGTGTGCTGCGCCTGACATCTCTGCGTCGCTCCGCCTGGATCTGAAGAGGGATCCTCCAGCACTGAGCTGTCTGAGAGAGCTACACCCGCCTCAGCCTCTCTCCCTCTCTCTCACACACACACTCACACATTTGGCATATTCTCACACACACTCCGAGAGGCACGCAAATACCTTCTACTCCCTCTCTCCTCCTCTGTCCTCTGTACGGTGCCGTACAGATGCGGTGCGCCCTCAGTGCCTCCTGTAGATTGTAGTCAAGGTGACATTGTGCTGCCTGTGCACGCACACACACGCACACACACACGCACACAAACACATACATGCACTCACACGCAGAGCAGCTATCTCACACTATTTCACATTGCCATGAGAAACGCACCAGTGAGCCAGTCTCCTGCTCTGGAAATACGTGGCAAATACGAGGCAGATGGATCCCAAGCTGCAGTCTGAAAGAGATTCTGCAGCGCAAGCAGGCGCTGCTCAGAGGGACAAAAGGCCTAGACGCCTGCACCTAATTGTATGAACTACACTTCACAGTCTGTGTAGCACAGTTTGAGCTGGACACATTCATTTATACATTTGGAGCAGAGACAGAATATGTTGAAAGCTGCGGGTCCCACACTGCCAGGCCGTCCACGCTGCTGCTGCAGCATATGGAAAAAGTGAAGTAGCCCCATAAGCAGTAAAGCACAGACTAGCAGCATTCTTGAGTTTTTATTAGGCTGGGGCTATGAGCAGATGTTAGTGAGATGGTTTTGAGAGATTTAGTTCTGCAAACTACTGTTCGGCTTTGAACAGTGACCCCAAACACTTAAAGCAGCTTTCAGAGTTGCCACAAATTATCCTCAATACCATATGTTTATAAGAAGCAAATTTACAGTAATACCTCAGTAATCTGAATGCAAAATCTTCACTTTGCCAATAGCAAATCTTTTACTGTCATGGAATCAGTTTGGAAGAGGAGATTTTCCAATGATGGATTTTTCATTTTGGAACCAAAGTCTGGAATTCACTGTTGAGTGACTAAAAATGTTTGGTAATGACTCAAAAGCAAACGGGAAGAAAAGCTGGGACGTGAGCCAGCTGGAGTGTCAAATCTCAGACCTCTGAGATAGTAAAAAAGTTCTTAGATTTGACCTAGTGCACGAAATGAGATAAACATTTAAGCAAACATTTAATCCCATCAGTTCCGTAATGGAAAAAAAAAACAGTTGTTACTGTTGATTTACCCTCCAATAATTCAAATAAAGACTAGTATAAAGTCTATTGATGAGTGAGTTCTCTCTAAGAACAAGGTCATCTTAAGCAGGTGTGACCCACTCAAACCTGTTTTTCCTGCAGAGTTTGTACTGTACATACAGTATTCTATGTTTCTCTAACACTGGGTCAAGGCTGACTGCAACTAAATGGATATTCAGGATGTAAAATCAGCTGTATTGCGCACAGATGTTCGGCCTCTGCTTCCCCCTGCTGGTAGCCTGGTAGAAAAGCTGCATGTAGTGTAGTTTTCTAGTTAACATCCTCCTTTGAATTTTATTGGTGCTAAAGTTTGTCCCCATCATATAATTTTCTTAACAGTGGACTTTGGCATGTAGTATACTTTATGTTTGCTTAAAAAAATCAATACAATAATTGGTTTAGGCTGCATTTGGAATTATTTAACAAATATATATATATTAAAAAATATTAAAATAAGATTAAAAAAAATTGTTTCCCATCACTTACATTGGAATTATACTAAAAAGGGATCACTGTAGATCCAGTTTGGAGAGGAGGAACACTTACAGCGTCCAAAAACTCTTTCAATGTACTAATTGGATGTGAGTAATGTTTTTGGGGATACTTATAATGAACTTATCCTCTAATTTTCACTGTAATTTTCAGCTGAAAAATGTTTTCTACATGATTTGTTAAAAATTAATATCAGCCACCAGATGGTTATCACATGTTTTTTACTCTTAAATGTCAATTTCAGCCTTGACCTCAAAAATCCAGTATTGGTTGAAATTATTACTACTCATTAATCACCTCATTGAAGCGTTCCTTTATATAACTACATCTCTGTGTAAGAAAAACACAAGTCACTACTGAGCGTGTATGTGAAGGACTTTTCTTTACTGCCCACAATGTCCCCTCCCACTGCACCTTTTGCATAATTGTCCTTACGCCTGGCACTCATTGAGATTTATCCCAGAAATCAATGGAAAAGTCGATGCAGAAGAAGAGGCTCGACCACTCTGTGAGATTGGCTGGAGACAGATGTAATGTGTTCCTCTTTTTTTTGTTGTTCTCACTGACCTCATTCATGCCATCATACTAAGAGTTATGACTGAAACCAACAAGACCTGACTGCAACAGAGGAAACAGGATTATGACTGTACGTCATAATCCATAAATAAAGACTTAATTATTATTCCAAATCAGTGCATATGTATTTTTAGAAACTACTGTACTAATGCAGCCTGCCAGCTGTCTGGAAGCTTGCCTAACATTTCACAAGGAGAGGTAGTAGTCATGATTACATTCTTCATCATTCAATATCTCAAAAGTGCAAATGATGCAGTTGTTGTACTTTTTCCTTATCACAGTGACAAAAGAAGATCTCCGACCATTTTAATTATAATTATAAAACAGCCAAATTATACATAATATAATATAATTAATTAATTAATTAATTAAAAAACATGTATCACTCACTTCTAGTTTTATCTAGCAATGCATTTTTTTGCCATAGCAATAGAGGTGAGTGGATTCCGCTCTGTGGTGCTTAAAATTTACATTAGAATTTTTGAAAAATTAAACAGGAACATTTCTTTCCACAAACAGTGTAACTCTGGATAATACACAAAACACTGAACACTAAAAAGACAAATTTCTGTTGAAATTTGTATGAAAGTGTGTGTGTTATGGTAATTATGGACAGATGGCGGGAGCCAGCTGGGTGACCCATCATTCCACCACCTCCGGTGGAGGTTTATGAGCCTTTGCATAAATCCACACCTTTCTCTGCACACTGTCATTAAAATACTGCTGTGTCTCTGCACATACAAGTTTAAGAGAGGTGGTCCAACCATTCATGATCATTCTTGGGATTCCACCGATCTACACTTTGACCCTTGATCTCCAAAACTGTAAATGTAATCTTTTATTTATCACTAAAGTGAAGCTTGCTGTTGCACTGATTTTTGCCTCTCTTTATAAGCATCAGCTAGTGAGAAAAATGAGATAGAGATGGTGGGAGAAAGCAATATCACATCCTGGTTTTAAAACATTTGGACTTTCATCCCCCAAATATAAATTTCTTCCTCCTTGTGATCACCTACTGTGAATGAACATGCACAGGGCAACTGACAACCAAGGATTTGAATTGTTTTGCTTGATTATTTATGGTACAAAGCCAAGAGGAAGGTAAAACAGCCATTATTTCACAATGAGATTTCCATATTAAAAAAATGACTCTTCCATCTCCCCTCCTGAGAGCAGTTGATGAAGAGGAGGAGCTTGTGTCTGGTCAGCTGCCATCACAGTCATTGTTCTGCTGCAGCAGACAGATGTGCATGGACTAGCACACATCTGGTCAACAGTGCTTTCTGTGTGTGTGTGTGTGTGTGTGTGTGTGTGTGTGTGGTTGTGATATTATTCCCTTTGTTCAATGATACTGAAATTAGGCATGTTGCATTAGGTGGTGAAATTAGCCGCTTTCAGGATCAAATTTTGTTAGAAGCTTTATAGTTGTATCACAAATCTC